CCTTCGAATGAGTCAAGCTCAGGGCTTAAGAATTTGGAGAGGACTTTTCTGAGGTGCTCGCAGTCCTTATCTCTTCCTTATCCTTATTCCTTATCGGATGCTGATTCCGGACGCAGTGGAGGCGATAATCCGAGCAAGCATTGATGCAGGGATGTGGTGTCCTGATTCTGTCTCCCACAGATGGGGCGAGTTGGCATTGCAATGTGAGGTCGGGCGTTCATTTGGAGAAAGGAGATTCTGAGACGTTTCTGACGATTCCCTCGCAATACCGAAGCCAGCCTAGAGGGCTATTCCGCGCTGACTTTAGCAATGCTTGTCTTCATACATTGAAGTGGTTCCCAAACCAGGCCACCTAGCGAATCCAACAAAACGAGAGCGATATTCTCAGAAAACGGAGTTCGGGCTTTGGTTGAGCTGGTGCTTCCTGGCTGCGAGGCAGCCATCAGGCATGCCGTGTGTTATCGTAGTAAACTCATGACTCATCTCCACTGGTGAAGGACTTGGGGAAGCTCTGGTAACACATTGACGTTAGCGTGAAGCGCACACGCTGCACACTTTAGCATCGTGTGGGACCGTGTACAGCGCATGCCTTGACACACAAGTAGTTTATTTTTCGCAAATGCGCTATTTATTTCCTAATTTTTTGCATTCATGCTATAGACCACATCACAACGTGACCATAAGCGGTGTGGTTACCCAAATGTGTGAATATTCTTTATGGCGCTCATGTCGTTGTGGGGGGGGGGCATTCAAGTTAGTGAGCCAATTGCTGTGCTTGGGACTGAAGCCTTAGGCAGGGGAAGGGATTCTGGGGTAGGATGTGAGCAATGTGTGTGTGTGTTCTCCCTGGCGTTTCCCCCTCTCCTGGGCTTAGTCCAAATGTCACCTACCCCGGCTCTGTATGTCCCCCCGCCAAGGACAAGAGCGCCTTCCTTACTAAGGTTCTCCCACCAACTCCCACAAGTTCATCAGTTCATTACTCGTTTTTTAGATTTCCTTGAACATAAATGTAAAAGAACAGTAGTGTGAGTTAAGTGCACCTATATCGTACAGCGAGATAGGCGTCTTGTTTGAGAGACCGCGTTATATGATTCCGAGGTAAACTGCAGCGAAAGCAGCTAAATCTGGCTTTTCATTATCATGACATGTCAATTC